TCTACCCAACCAACCCTCCCCCCCCCGGCGCCCCCGCCGCGGCCGCGGGGCGCGGGGCTGGGGCGGTGGGAGGGAGGGAGGGAGGGAAAAAAATTAACTTAATGCTTGCGGAGTAATATATGGCTTTCTTTGTATATCAGCTCTTACATTTCCCCTACTTCCAGGTTTTCACTTCTCCCAATATTTAAAAACATTTTAGAAATAGGCAAGAATGACAATCTAAACCCTCAGTTTTACATAAAAAGATAATGAAATAACAGTAACATTTTTCCAAATAACACCAGTAGAAGAATTGGTATAAATAGCAAGATTTTATAACTTTCTTTTTTGAGTCAGGGTAGCCTCAAATTCTCTATGTACCTGCCTCTCATTCTTAATTAAGCATTTTGCAAATGTTCTTTATTAATCAGATACTAATGTTGAAGTAAGTAAAGAAAAATAACAGGCAGGAAATATGGCTTACAGGTTAAGAGTAACTGGCTGCACTTTCAGAGGACTTATGTTCAATTCCCAGCACCTACATGGAGGCTCACAGCCATCTATATAATTCCAATTCCAGGGGTTCTATTCCCTCTTTTGTCCTCCACAAGCTCATGGTGCAGATACACACACACAGGCGAATACTCATGCACATTAAGAAAATAAATTGGTTTTTAAAAACTCGTATCAAAGAGCACTGCATATCACCTACATTTTAGTTATCCCACATTAATTTTACACAATTCCTAAGTGTTAAAGTGGCTAATGAAACTATATAATGAAGTGGAGATAAAAACATAGAAATTGAGGTAGAAAGACATAACTTCATGAAAAGAGGAACATACACAGTTATTTGTGAAAAGGCCAGTTTTGTATGTTGGTCTGTTTGAAGAGAGACCTTTTCAAGACAGTGTCTCACTGTAGCCTAAGATGCCCTCAAATATGCTATGTAGCAGAGGATGGCTTTGAATTCCTCATCCTTCTGCCTTTATCTCTCAAGGCCTGAAACTACAGGCATGTGCCACTACATCCAGCTAAGGCTCGTTATTATAATATTTGTATTTTAATATTTTTCAAAGAGCAAAGCAGCTCATAAAAAGGGAACTTCCAATAGTCAAGAAATATCCCAACTTAGCCAGGCAGTGGTGACGCCTGCCTTTAGTCCCAGCACTTGGGAGGCAGGGGCAGACAGAGAATGGCGGATCTCTGAGTTTGAGGCCAACCTGGTCTACAGAGTGAGTTCCAGGACAACCATGGATGTAGAGAAACTCTGACTCAGAAAAAAATTAAAAAAAAAAAAAAAAAGGAAAATATACCAACTTTGCTAAATAATAAATGAAGGGCTTACACCAGAAAACATGAAATAAAATAAAAAATAACACTAAATGAGCAATCAAAACAAACACAAGGCATGTGTACTGTCACATGCCTTTAACCCCAGCACTCGACAGAGGCAAGTAAATCTCTCTGAGTCCAAGGTCACCCTGATTTAACACAGCAAGTTCCAATACAGTCAATGCTACAGAGTGAGACCCGATCTCAAAGAACAAAGATAGTAACAAGCAAACAAAGCACAAGGCCTCAAAGTCATCGAGTTGAATATAGCAAACAGTTACAGTTTTGCATGTCAATCATCCCTTAGAATAATTTAAAACTGAAAACTGTGTTTTGCATTCTTCAAAAGATAGGAAAAAAATCTTAGTCAATTCTTTAATAAAAACATGAAAAACATAAAAAACATGCAGAAAAATAAGAGACTAAGCAGAATTTATTGTACAATGTTTTTAAGTATGTTATTAATCTTTTTGTTCTAATTTGTATTTAACATTAATATATTAGCAAAAAGCAATCTATAAAAATATGATAAATTTATGCAGCATTTTTAATTCATTAAGCAAAATCATACTGCTACTAATATTCTACTTCACAAATACTATACGTTTCACAATTCATTAAAATTTTAAACTTTAATGTTAGCAAAATTAAAACATTTTCTATATGAAGGTACTAAATAACACTTTTATTTCAATGAAAAAGGTACCTGACAAAATATTAAATTCATTTTTATGAAGTAGAATATTACTTCTTACCTGGGTTATGATGAGGTGCAGACTCTCCATTCTGAAATACATCTCCAGCAACATTCATCCTACCAGGATTAAAAGGTCCTACTCCAGCCTTGGTCTGTGAAGTTAGAGATGGGGTGTACGTTTGTATATTCACACCAAAGTTACTGGACTGAAGTCCGTTAGAGCCGTCTCCCAGGCTGGTGTTATGCAGGGATGTTACATGAGTAATCATTAAGTTCATATCTCTGCCATCAGTACTTTCTAGTTGGCCATCACTCACAGAGCTTACGCCTGTTTCTAAGGTCGTAACATTAGCAATCTGAATTTCAGAGTCTGGTTCTGTGGTAATACCACTGTTACTCATTCCTGCATTTACTTTACTTCTTGAAAAAGTGGAACTAGAGAAATCCACATCATTTGTTCTGTTTTTAATTTCAGAAGGTCTCCTTTCAATAAAATTTGAGGAATTCTTCTCTTGCTCTTGATTTGTTTCCATGTCCTCTTCATCATCAATAACAATTGTCTCACTTACACTGCCCTTTTGCGGGGCCAACTCTTTCGATGAAGGAAGAATTTTGGGATCGTTTCCTTGTAGCTCTTCATTTTTTGAAGATGTAAATGTTACGGGTCTTTGATCAGCAACCAAAGGTGCAGAAGATGGAGGAGGTTGTACAGGTTCAATAAAAACAACATCATCATCATCTTCCACTGATGAGCTCTGAAACTTACTAGATCTAGACACTAAAGGATTAGGTGGGCCACTAAATGAATTTCCTACGTTCGAGAGACTAGTTGCCATGGCTGTACTTCCTAGTAAAACAGAAGTTTGATCAGTCAATTCTAATGTTCCCACTGAACTTGTGTCCATGCCAAAGAACCTGTTCAGGGAAATGAAAGAATATAAATGTGAGTATGTGACTTTCTTTTTAAAGACATTTATTTTCTGTTATAAGACTCCTGCAGAATCTTCTGTGGTCTCAAGCATTTTGTAGTTTACGTATCCATATACAAGGAACACAGCCAATTTTCAGTAATTATAAATACTACACTTCCACTGCCACTTTCTAGAGATACGCTATTTATTCCATAAAGTTTGCTCAAAATGTAAATAGTTACGTGTCAGCAGAAACTCCAAAACTAACATGATAATATGAAAGTAAGGGATCCACATCAGGTATCCTCTTTCTCTCTCTCTCTCTCTCTCTCTCTCTCTCTCTCTCTCTCTCTCTTTCTCTCTCTCTCTCTCTCTCTCTTTCATTTTTCAAGATGGAATCTTTACCTGGAACTCACTGACTTTTTGGTCCTTGGACATTCAGAAATCTTTACTAGTTTTTCACAACCACCCAGTTTAAAAAGGCTGGCAGGTACTAGGGCTTCCAAAGAAAGCTTGGTACTACTGACACCTTGATCTAATCCCAGGCCAATTTTTCTTTACCTTATTTTTTTTAATTAACATTTTTATTTTTATTTATGGGTATGTGTATTGAATGTATGCCACATGTGTGCAGTTACCCACAGGGGCCAAAAGAAGGCATCAGATGTCCTGGAGCTGGAGTGAAACCTGGAACTGGAGTGAAAGGCAGCTGTAAGCTGTTCAACATGAGGCCAAGGAACAAGCTCAAGTCCTCTGAAATAGGAAGCAGCAGTCCTAACCACTGAGTCATCTCTCCAATACTTTTCACCTCAATTTTTAAATCTCTCACTTAACTAATAGAGCTCACCAATTTGATTAGATTGACTGGCTAACAAGTTCCAAAGATCCTGCTAGGATCCATTGCTAGGATCCATTGCTAGGATGACAGGCACACACAGCTTCTTATGTTGGTGCTCAAACTCAGGTCCTCATGCGAGCATGATTGTGCAGCACGCATTTTCTCATCTGAGCCATCACCCCAACCCCTGGTTATGTAAATCTTAAAAGCCTGGCTTAAAATCATAAAGTACAAAGAGCTAATAGGATAGAAGACATAAATGTAATTATCACTTCAACTAATGGGTGACAGGGGTAGAGAATGTGTTCACTGTTTATCATTTTCGTAATTTTTATATCACATGGTTTTTATTTTTTAAGCTGAATTTATTGGTAGGGAGGGGGATCCCTGGCTTTTACGTTTGAGATAGGGAGGGCCTTGCAGTTTGATGCTACTCTGGTCTATAAGGCTAGTTCCATTATGGCTAAGGCTACACAGAGAACCTGTCTCAAAAATACAATCAATCAATCAATCAATAAAAATAAATATTGAGAGAGATAACAATAGGAAAATGTATAATTGATGGTCAGAAACCTTATTCTAAAACAGCTGAAAAGTATAAATTGAGTACCCATTAACTGGTGAAGAAATCAAAAGGTTTACAGTGAGAGTTGAATATAATAAGTGTTCAGCAGTGCTAATAGCTTTATAGTGGAAATACATTGACAATTTACAGATAAACTTCAACATTTCTACTAATTGAGAATTCATAAATCATTCTATGACTTTGTGAGTGGAAGATCTTGGCTCTAAATTTTATTCTTCCTCTTTGGTGTCATAATAAGCAAAGCTATATACCAACAGACTTCAGCTTTAGTGACTCCTTTCTATTTTCCCGTTAATTTAAACTTCTTATTAAAGATAATTCAGGTTTAAAAAATATATGAATGTCTTATTACTCTATGAACCATAAACAGGAGGTAATTTGATTACAGTTAATTTACTATCACTCATACCTTGCTAACAATTATCCATAACTTGCTTAACTTCATGAAATCCAAGTTGAAGCCCAGCATGAGTGTCACAGTGTGAAACCCTGTCTCAAAAGCAAATTATCATCATCTTCTCACTTACAAGCCTACCACCAGTGAAAGCCTGTCTCAATTTTAAAATAAGAAGAAACAAGAAAAAGAACACTTTCCTCTTTAGAAACCTACCTAAAGATCTTATATGTACCATAAAGGAGTCATAGGAGGCTAAGACACATTTTCTACAAGAGTACCAGCTAATGTGTTTGTTGTACCTACTATAGCTTTCAATTAATGTCATCAATTTAAAATAATCCCTAATAAAATAGAAAAATGAGTTGTAAAATAATGTAGCAAAACAAAATATTAAATAAAATATATTTAAAATATCATAATAGGATGACAAGAATAATTTTTTTTTCTTTTTTTGGTTTTGGTTTTTCGAGACAGGGTTTCTCTGTATAGCACTGGCTGTCCTGGAACTCACTCTGTAGACCAAGCTTGCCTCGAACTCAGAAATCCACCTATCTCTGCCTCCCAGGTGCTGGGATTAAAGGCATGTGCCACCGCTGCCTGGCAAGAATAATCTTTATTATCACGGTATAGCACTATTCTGGAAATAATATCCATCAATACAAATATCAGATAAAGATCTGATAAAGAGTGCATGTTTATCATTCAAGAAACGACAGGCTCTATCCTCAGCACCACAAAAAACAGGTCCACTGTCACATGCCTGTGATCCAAGCATTGTAGAGCAGAGGTAAGGCTCCAAGGTCATCTTGGCTATGCAATGAGTTTGAGGTCAGCCTGGAGTATATGAACAAACAAGAACCAACAAAAAAAGAAAAGAAAAATCCTCTCAAATCAATAAGGAACAAAGAAATAGCAACAACAACAAAAGAAGCATCCTAAGCATGAATTCATAATGAAAAGAAATGATGATGATGACGATGATAAATACTGTAGAAATATACAAAAATTAAAATAGGAAAAACAGCGAAGGTTGATTCTTTAGAGAAAGAAGTAAACTATACTAAAAAAAAAAAGTACTGTCTATTTAAAAGGGAAAAATCCTCAAATTTCTAAAATGGGAAATAAAAATAGGGGTGTCACTAGTTTTACAGAAAAAGAATTTTTAAAGAATAACACAAGCAATTCATTATATGCCAAACTGGAAAACAAAGATAAAATGAAAAAATATCCTTAAAACTCATACAAAGGAAGAATATGAAATCTGAGTAGATCTAAAAGACTCAAAGTTGATTAAGTCAGTAAAAACTGACTCATCTCAGCAAACATCTCAGCAAAAAATAAATTGGGGGTAGGAGGAGGACTAAAGAGATGGCTCAGCAGTTAAAAGCACTGACTGCTCTTCCAGAGGTCCTGAGTTAAATTCCCAGCACCCACATGGTGGTTCACAACCATGAAGGGATCTGATGCCCTCTTCTGGTGTGTCTGAAGACAGCTACAGCATACTCATATACATAAAATAAATAAATACATCTTAAAAATAAATAAGGACATAGCTTTACTTATAAATTCTACCAATTCAAAATAGCCAACAACAACTCAAACCTCTCCTAAAAATAATGAAAATGGACCCAGGTAGTCTTGGCACAAACCTTTAATCCCAGCAGAGGCAGGTAGATCTCAGTTCTAGGGCAGCACAGAGAAATGTTGTCTCAAAAAATCAACGACAATGATGCTGGTGGTGGTGGTGAGGGTGATGATGACAAGAATGAAAAGAAAAAGAGAACATTTCCAAACTGGCTTTTTGAATCCAGAATTACCTGGATATATAACTCTGGCAAACACATTATAGGTAACTTACAGTTAGTTTGTAATCTTTGCACAACACTAGCACTGAGAGGCTAACCTGGTCTATATATCAAACCCCAATATAGCCAGGACTACAGAGAGACCCTGTTTCAAAAAACAAACACAACAACAACAACAACAAAAAAAAGACAGATCTAAAAGTCCTTAACAGAGAAGTGAATAGGTGAATGAATAAAGAATATGGTATACAAAAAATATCCCAGCATAAAAAAATTTACAGGAAAATGGATGAACTAGAGGAAATTATTATAGCCAGTGGTTACAGGATGTTTGATCACACTGTGAACCTCAAGATTGTGTTGATTACTGGAAAAACCTGTTTCTGGTTGTGGTGTGGCTCAGCCTTAGCACACACCTTTAATTTCTCTGGCTTGAATATAGACACAACACTAATATACACTTTTAATATCAAACAATGAAGTAAAATTAGTTTGTAGAAGAAAGCACCCATGTTTGAAAGTGATGTCTAACTGAGTGGCAGACAAAGTTACAAGTCAGAGAAAATCTGACAGACTAGGATATGCCCAACTCTCCTGACAAGACAGAGGAAAGGGAAGCTCCTTTAGGAGCAGTGCAGAGAAAGGGGTAAGACAGTTGTACAGAAACGGAGTGCAGAGAGACAGAGACCAGGCTAGACACACCTGAAGACAGAATGAGAACGTGCAGAAAATGAGAAGCCAGAAAATTAGAACATATTAACAAAGTTTGTCTGAAGCCAAGCAGAGAAATTCAGGAGGAGCCAAGAGAGAAGAGCCAGATTGAATCAGCTTAGAAAAGAGTTTAAGCTAAAACTGCTGAGTTGAACCAGGAAGACAGAGTTCAGAAAGAGTTAGAAAGGATGAGTTTATTCAGCAGTAATTCTCAGAGGCTGAAAACATTCTAGGCCTACAGAGGCTAGAAGCGTCCAGGACTAGGCCCAAGTTAGCAGATGAAAGCAGTCAGCTTCCAAGATGACAATTACTGCAGGAGAATAAGGGTTACTTTTACAGCCAGTCTTGTGCTTTCTTTCACATATGGAAACAAAAAACAGAAAGATAAATCTGAAGGGGAGAAAAATCTCAAAAAACTGGTCCTTTATTTATACCATATACAATACATAAATAAAACTCAAAAAGAAGCAAGATCTAAAAAGAAGTCAACTAAAAAAAACTCTGAAAGCTAACTTCATGCCACTGAATTTGTCATTCTGGATGACACCAAATAGGTAAGAAGAAAAAACATACTAAACTATTCAAGATTCACAATATTGTGCAAAGAATATTACCAAGGAAATGAAGACAATGCAGAAAGAAAACACCTCCGAATCAAAAAAACAAG